CTTTTTCTCCCCCGTCCAATTTTTCCTCACCATGAATCATATTTAAAAATTTAACTGTCCAGCCTGCTCACGACACCTTAACAGAACAGAAGCAAAAATTGTCTTTGAGGAACATGATGGTAAAAGTCTCACCAATAGTGAACATCACTGTGTCAGCCAGCTGAACGTTGTTGATGCTGATTCTGGGGATGAGGCCTATGAGGCCCGGAATGACGTCAGAGTAATTGACGTCTATCGTCTCCGCAATGGACTGGAAACCGTACAGCAAAGCCTCTGTGTGCTGGAGGAGGAATAATCACTGTGTTTGTGTATTTTTAACAGTGACAGCAGAATAAGCTACTCATTTTTTTTTTTAACTTTAAATAATATGTACTTTATATGGATCACTGGAATGCCTACACACCCATCAAGCATAAAATTAAACAACCAAGTCAAGATGTTGTCAAATTCTTCTTCTACAAATGCTTCTGATACTTAATTGATTGCTCGGTGAAATTTTCGATGCAGTGGGGGTAACAGGTCCATTGCATTGGATGAATTGTAGAGTATGAAGTGCTGCCCGCACAACTGAAAATGCCACGCCACAACATGAAAATTGTGTCAAGAAAAAAATGTGCTACCTTCCACCCAAAGACACAAAATTGGGTCTACATCATGACTGCAGGCCCCCACAAGCGAAAAGGGATGAAGAAACGATTTGTGTTCGAGTTTGGGGTTTGTGCTCCACCGCACGATGACGAAATCTACAGTGAAACATTTTTCGAAACGTCATCTCGGCAACACAGCATCCCACCCACCTGCCACGACGTGGGCTGCTCTGTATTTGTCAAGAGTCGACCCAGTTTGTCATAGAGATTACTCAGCAGCTCAGCACCCAGCATCTCGTAGACATACATGAGCGTGTCAGAGATGTCCACCCTGAAGGAGATACACTCTATATTAAGTCTCTTTCAATTAAAAAAGAAAAAAAAAAGTTCCAAGTGCCCAACAAAGCCACAGACCTGTAGATACGGAACTGCTCTTTTTCATCTGAGGTCCACGATGCGTACTCTTGGTCCGAGGGGAATTGGGCTTTGTGGAGCAGAACATCCACAAGCTGGAAATACACTGGCCTGTACACTTGCAGGTACACTGCTTGCTTGTTTGTCTCAAATGACATGATTTCATCCTGGAAGACAATAAAACACAATCTTAAGAAGTGTGACATAATAGCAGACAGTCCACGTGAAGCCTTACTTGTAGCGTGTACCAGAAGGTCAGTGTGAGCGAGCTGGTGGTCTCGTTAACTGGGTAGTGGCCGGGGATGCCTGTGCAAAACATGATCATGTTGACTAAAGCAAGGAAGCTCTGCCAGTGATCCACCTGCTCCAGCAGAATCCTAAAAAGAGAGAAAGTGGAAGAATGTTGGATGCAGTTGATATGTATTTGACTAAAAATACATGATTTAAACTTCAGGCCTTGCTGATTTGACAGTTAGCTCATAGTCTGCATTTTAAAATGTATTGTTTTCCATTTCTTTTTCGTTTATACTGAATTTTTTTTACTGACATCAGCTCGTCATTTTTATTTTTGAAACACAACAACAATATTTCGATGTCTTCAAACTATGCAAGTTGTAGTGTAACCTTTTTTTTTTGTATAAACTCTCAGTTGTCAGCAGTAAATGGTCATTCCACATTTCAAATTTAAAAATGTAAGTTTTCCCCATGGTCAGCAGAGGGTATCTCCACTTCTTCACATTTGCATTATTTATTTGCTCCATTGTAGTGTAGTTAGCATGAATGCTAGCAAACTAGCACCATCATTCAATATCAACTACCGGTAATAAACCACTGTATGATTAAAGTAAATGAAACTGAAGCAAAACCATGCCAACAACACCTGCCGGATGCAGATTAGAAAACAGGATGGTGCTTGCAAGGTGCTTTTTTAAATTTTGTTGGCTATTACTGGAATTCTTACATGTTGGAATCTGTACATTGTCATTTGCTTGGTGCGCTGTTTAGGTAAAAATTATTTGCCAATTCGTCAGTTTGACTGATGAGATTCTTTTGGCCTCATTCAAAGCTAATTTAGACAATGACAAATTCTGAGCGGTTTAAGTGGATGTGTATATACATTTTGTTCAGCGACAAACACCAAACCAACCTGGAGTGGTTCTCTCCCAACGTAACAGCAACGCGGCAAATGCCGTGACAAGTCTCCATGTCGCCGCTCTGGACGGCCTCTCTGAGCTGGTCCTGGAGAGCCAGCACTGGAGGGACTAGCTTCAGCAACGTGTTCACGTACCTGTACGACACACACCGGCAAACACAAACAATACAGTTAACAACTTGTCTAGGATACCTGCTTGCAGTCAAAGCGCACCTTGGTGAATTCTCTACAAGTTCATCAGAGTACAAGCCCTGGAATTCGCCAAAAATAACCATTAACTAACGGGCCCTTGAGACTTTTTTGTGCATTCTGTTATGATAAAAAGGTGCAATCAATTTTGTGCCGATTGGTGAAATTGATTTTTGGGAGTATTTTTTTTTTCTATTGCCAACGAACCACTTTAAAACAAAATTGCAGATTTCCTGTTCTATTTGGTTGATTGGTGAAACTCGCATTTTTTTTTTTATCTGTGAAACTCGTCCCTCCTTGGTATCAAGAGTTATTTTTTTCCACCTGATTCAACACACCCACGAGTTAACACCTACACAAGACTAAAATCAAACCTATTACTCAGAGGAAAAACTGCTATACGCCAGTATATTGTCTTGCTTTTCGTCTAGATCTTCCTCAGTCCACTAAAACACATTCACACACAGCTCACTCATTCGGATTGGCTAACACGACATTATGAGACAATGTCATCTTTAATGCGATCATGCGATAGCGTGACATTTAAAGATCAAGAGTGTGTGTGTGTCCGAAATGTCACAGACGAAGTGGATTTGCGAAAATCCCACAAAATAAATATTAAAAATGGTTTTGTGGCATACGAGGCAATGTTTCATCTTTTGTAGAATGTCGATAACGACCATGGGTCCAGGTTATTTCCTACTTAACAATGACATGGCGAGAGAGAGAGAGAGAGAGAGAGAGAGAGATTCCTACAACAGGACTTTCAATATACAATGTGCCAATGTGTACCACGAAAACACACACACACACACACACACACACACACACACACACACACACACACACACACACACACACACGGACATCATTTTACCTGCTTGTGTGTCTTGCCGGCGGACTGATTGCACTTAAATCTAAACGAGCAACTCTGCGAGTAGCACTTAACGGCGCATTCATTTTTAACCAGCGCTGGCTGTGAAGTTGTGGGTCATGTCCAATAAAGACACAAGCCTTTTCTTTCTTTCTTTCTTTCTTTTTTTTAGGGGGGGGTTCAATCCATTTCTATTGGGAACATTTCATTTGATATACAGTAGAAACCTCGACTCAACAGACACAGGACTTACGGACTGCGAATTTC